GATTTAAAAATTATCTGAACAGAGAAGAAATATGAAACAACCAGTATAGTGTCAGGAATATAGCTTTTATGTAATTATTATGGTTATTATCATAATGGCAATTTTACATTCAGTCACTTGGAGCAAAAAATGTTTTAATTTAGAGTGGCCTATCTGCTGGAAAATGTATATTTTAACATTCAGACTTAGAATAAAATTAGTTATTAGATCATTTGAATGAAAAAGCCACTGAATTTACACAGAACTATAATCCTAGGATATTTTAGAACTCAATATAATATTGAAGACTTGTAAGATCTTCAATTTGAATATATCTATACATCAAGTAAAACATGTTAATAATGAAATTACATATCAAGTTAATTTTAGTCTTGCCCATAACAATGACATATTTGATCACAAATGTTTTATCAGTAACAGATGAAACCAATAATACTGCTTAAAATTTGTTAAATTTATTTTTGGAGACATAAGAGAGAAGCTTTTAGGAATCCTTCATGACATTTCTGGTATTTTGAATAAATAATAGATTCACCAACCAAAAGCCACACTACCAGTTAATTTTCAGCATTTTTTGATGAAGTACCTAAACTACCCATAAATTCTTACTGTACTTGATAATTTGAATTACTGTATTAATGCCAACATTTCTTGTGAGCACAAAAATAATGTATTATGAGTTATTTTTAAATGATCAATTAGAGTGGATAATTCTTCACTAACATCTGAAATTACAAACGAATTTCAGGGCCAAAATGGTTGATTCTGGATTAAACTCCAATTGACTTCAAAAAGAGCAGGTTTAAGCCCTCTATTTTGTTGTTACCTTTTGCAAGGTAAATTGTATATCTTATAAATCTTTTTTTATTCTACTTGTTTTTAATCTACCATAAGTAAAAATATCTCTTATAATCATTATCTAAAGAACTAGAGACTTTTAAAAAAGAATTATACATCTGAAATTCCACTTTGATTTCAGTTAATCTGAAACAGCAGGACAGATAATTCAGTGCAAAGAATGGGAGCTATTGGTTCCCCTCTGTATAGCATGCCAAAAAGCAAATGAGCATGACTGCATTGGGAAAGCCCCAGTCTTTGCAGGAAAGGAGTGGCCAGTGCTATCTGCCCTACTGAGCCCATGAAATGACCCCAATATGAACTCTGCATAGTCAGATCTTCACAGGACTGGAGAAGAGTGCCAGACTGGACTAGGGAATAATCGATCAGGCCAGCTTCCCTCTAACACAGTGGATATCCAAGCAGAAGCCCGATAGGTAGGGTGACCAGACAGCAAGTGTGAAAAATCGGGACAGGGGGTGGGGGGTAATAGGAGCTTATATAAAAAGACCCAAAAATCAGGACTGTCCCTATAAAATTGGGACATCTGGTCATAGGGGACCCATAGGGGAAGGGGCAATCAATCATTGGTTGCTAGGTAGCCACTGACAACATGGCTCCTGAATTAGTGCTACTGCCAGAGTAGAGGGAATGGGGTCCAGAGAACAGCATGAAAAGGAAGACTCTCCCAGGGGATGTCCTGATATTCTCAGTGTTCTGCTCTGCTTTCCTTTTAGATCCTTTGGATCTACTGGATTTTCAACCTGTTCCTCCTGCATGCAGCCACAAACTCCTTCAACAGGAAATGAGCCTCAGGCAGCATTTAGCTCATGTAATTTCCCAAATAACTTTCTCTGGGAGGGCATAATGCAGTCCTAGTGCAGTGTTACTTTGGAATACTTAGGGAATGGATTTGTGTGCTTTCACATTTATATCATGGCCAAATCACTGTACCTTTTTTAAGAACAACTTCTTCCTTTGGTGGAGGTTTAACTTCAGGAAGTATTCTGCGGCCTTTCTTTTCAACTCCGAGCACTTAAAAGAACATCATTTAAAATTTCAAAGTAAGTTCATAGCAGTAATAGCAGCCATCCAAATACACAAACCAAATGCTGATTTACAATAGAACATTCAAAACAGAAAATAAAACAACTGAAATGGATGCAGATTGTTTTACTTAATCTTTTTTTCCTTGTAATATCTGTATATGCTTGTTTTATGGATCTAGGACTAGTAAGAGATTTTCATAAAGATAACAAAATAAATGTATGAGTCTGAGGAACCCACAAAAGCTAAAAAATTCAAAGTTAAGGGTTAAAGGTAAAATTCTTCTCTCTGTCAACACAATGGATCTCATCCCTAATATTCTACTCTACCTACAGTTGCAGGTCCTACTTACCTATCTACCTGGATTGTCGGTCTATGGTATTTATAAGATGCCTGCTACCTTAATTTCTAAGCTCCGAATAAACTTAGGAAGAAGAAAAAGAGCCCAGAATTTTTTTTCTCTCGCTCTCTTGCAGGGATTTCACTTTTGGCACTGTACCTTTTAATTTCTTTTTCACTAACTTCCTCATTTTTGTGTAGTCCCACTTCCTGAAATTAAATGCTACAGTGTTGGGCAGCTGTAGTGTTTTCCTTGCCATAAGGATGTTAAATTTAATTATATTATGGTCACTATTACCAAGTGGTCCAGCTATAGTCACATCGTAGACCAGATCCTGTGCTCCACTTAGGACTAAGTCAAGAATTGCCTGTCCTCTTGTGGGTTACAGGACTAGCTGCTCCAAGAAGCAGTCATTTAAGGTGTCAAGAAACTTTATCTCTACATCACATCCTGAGGTGAAATGTACCCAGTCAATATGGGGATAGTTGAAATCCCCCATTATTATTGAGTTTTTTATTTTTATAGCTTCTCTAATTATATTATTGAGCATTTCACAGTCATTATCACCATCTTGGTCAAGTGGTCAGTAATATATCACTACTGCTATATTCTTATTACTAGAGCATGGAATTACTATCCATAGAGATTCTATGGTACAGTTTGGTTCATTTAAGATTTGTACTTCATTTGATTCTTTTTTTTCCATATAGTGCCACTCCCCCACCAGCACAACGTGTTTGGTCCTTCCGATATATTTATACCCTGGTATTATTGTGTCCCATTGATTATCCTCATCTCACCAAGTTTGTGTGATGCCTATTATATCAATGTCCTCATTTAATATGAGGCACTCTAGTTCACCCATCTTATTATTTAGACTTCTAGCATTTGTATATAAGCACTTTAAAAACTTGTCACTTTTTAGCTGTCTGCCATTACGTGATGTAATTGAATGGGACTCTTTTTCATTTAACTGTTTCTCATCAGATCCTACCTGTATTTTATCATCTTCCATCCTCTCCTCCTTACTAGGACATAGAGAATCTCCATTAATAGATCCTCCCCTAAGGGATGTCTCTGTCCAAAACACATGCTCGTCCGCACCTCTCGGCTTTCCTCCAGCCCTTAGTTTAAAAACTGCTCTATGACCTTTTTAATTTTAAGTGCCAGCAATCTGATTCCATTTTGGTTTAGGTGGAACCCATCCTTCTTGTATAGGCTCCCCCTTTCCCAAAAGTTTCCGCAGTTCCTAATAAATCTAAACCCCTCCTCCCTACCTTTGTCTCATCCATGCATTGAGACTCTGCAGTTCTGCCTGTCTAACTGGCCCTGCGCGTGGAACTGGAAGCATTTCAGAGAATGCTACCATGGAGGTCCTGGACTTCAATCTCTTACATAGCAGCCTAAATTTGGCCTCCAGGACCTCTTTCCTACCTTTCTCTATGTCATTGTACCACGACCACCGGCTCCTTCCCAGCACTACACATAAGTCTTTCTAGAAATCTCAAGAGATCCACAACCTTCGCACGAGGCAGGCAAGTAACCATGCGGTTCTCCTGGTCATCGCAAACCCAGCTATCTACGTTTCTTATTTATTTGAACTGCAGTAGGGCTTTATACCCCAAATAGAGTAGTGTAGATCCCCATAATTGATCCCACGTTAATATCCTTCCCTAACACAGCTCTCTAGCACATCCACCAGCTCCTGACTTACACAGTGGGAAAGGAAGGTGCGATTAAATCTAGAAAAATGAAAGATGTTAAACACAGAACAACAACAGATGACATCTGGACAACATCTTCCAAACATTTAAAAGAGAAGTACTTAGGAGCATACTGCAAAAGATGAATTTCAAGAACTACAATCTAGTGCCCACCAGAGACAGGAATGAGAAAATACGATTCCCCTCCCCCTCTGACCCGTATACTAGATACCTTTAGCAGGGGTAAGCTCCACTTTCTCTGGAGCCTCAACAGGTTTTTCAGGCACAACTTTCTTCCTTGTGGTGGGAGCTTTAAAGAAGACAATTTGATTTTTACTACCTACATCCTTAGAATGAAACTATTTTAAAATGAGAAAAAGAAAAAATCCTTGTGCTAAAACCCACCAAACACCCCACCAACAAATAACTGATTACACTAGCAACATAACAAAAGAAAACAATGGACACAAACTACAGAGTTCTTTCTAAGTAGCTGTTCCAAAGGTGTAATGGGATCTTTAATGACCACATTTGTAAAACAGCTCCAGCAATATACTACCCTGGAGAATCATGCTGGGGATCAGAACATAAGAAAGGCCATACTGGGTCAGACCAAAGGTCCATCTAGCCCAGTATCCTGTCTTCTGACAGTGGCCAATGCCAGGTGCCCCAGAGGGAATGAACAGAACAGGTAATCATCAAGTGTTCCCATTCCCAGCTTCTGGCAAACAGAGGCTAGGGACACCATTCCTGCCCATCCTGGCTAATAGTCATGGATGGACCTATCCTTCGTAAATTTATCTAGTTCTTTTTTGAACCCTGTTATAGTCTTGGCCTTCAGAACATCCTCTGGCAAAGAGTTCCATAGGTTGACTGTGCGTTGTGTGAAGAAATACTTCCTTTTGTTTGTTTTAAACCTGCTGTCTATTAATTTCATTTGGTGACCCTTTTTTTTCAGTGTGAAAGTATGTACGAATATGTTATCATATTATGCTAAGATCTTTTTCAAAGATTAGAACAATTTAAAATATATCAACTTTTTCATAAATTTCTTCATTTTAACTGAAAACCACACAAACTGACTGGACAGATATTTCTGAAAGCTCATAACAGATAAACAATTAGTAAGGAGTATCATTAGATTGAAAACAACCAAAACAAGCCCTGAGTTAGGCTAAAAGTAATATATTAAAAAGCCCACTTTTCAAGAGGAGCAAATTATAATTAAAATGCATTATATTGAAGCGTTCAGTAAAGCTGTTAATACTGATTTCAGTAGCTTCTTATACCTTTCAGCTGAACTTTTTCCATCTTAAATTCCTCTTTTGGTGGAATAGGTACCCGTGGCTTTGGTTTTTCAGGAATCTTCTTTTCGGGTTCTGGCTCTTTAAATAATATTGTGGCAGATTTAGAATACATCTACTATCATAAAGTGAGATGAAGAACATATAATGTACCAGAACCTCCATTCTGCTTCCAGTGAAGTCAATGGCAAAACTCTCATTGATTTAAATGGAAGCATAAAAAGCTCTAAATAAATGTTTTGTTGCTTGCACATAACGTGAATGTCCAGTATGAATTATGAAAGCACACTACTAACACGTGAACAAAAATACACGAGGAAAACTGAATATCGGGAAGACTATTATAATTAAATTACAATGAATTGAGAATTTAGAACATATTTACACATACAATAACACAAGGAGAAAAACTGGGACTTAACACAAATACAACACAGTTGTGGAGAACTACAAAGCAAGATGTGCACAATTTTGAAATGAAGGTGTGCATTTGACTATGGCTATTGTATATACCTTCTACTGGTAAAATCTCTTTTACTACAGAGATCTCTTCTTCTGCTGGAGAGAGCTCTTCTTCTGCTGGAGAGAGCTCTTCTATTTCTGAAGTAGGAGCAGGTTCTGGTTCTTCAGGCTCAATCTTCATGGTGACTTCAGGGACTTTAGAGAATATTGACAACTAGTATAAGACTGCCGTTTAAGACTGGGTCACATGAAGAATTATACAAATATCACATGAAGATACATACGACAGGAAAACAACATCAACATACACATTCACATTCACAGAGACACAGACAAACACACTTCAAGCTAAGTACATGTACAATATTTGTTCCCTGGTTAATCTGGCTGTTTACACATTTTTTAAAAAAAATTACTGGTGCATTCACGTCGTAGTGAGTGATCTGTGTGGGAGGGCAGATTTTTTGATCTCTAAATAATCTTGGATTACTTATGGCTCTCAGGAGAATTTTGGTGCACATTTCTGCTTCTGTATAGTGACAGTTTTATATAACATTACATTGGCAGGTAATTTGTTGTTGTCGTCATTGAAAAAAATGAAAAATACTGAACTAGATAGGACTCAAGTGCAAGAAATAATTTAATGTTTGCAAGACAAAGCAATAACAAAAATGAGAATTGGAATGCTGCCAGCATACAATGTTGTTAATAATAGCTTTTATGAATGGATAGATTGCATCTTTATTGGGGGACCTTCTTTTTTAGCCATCATTAAGAATGCTTTTTCTTCAATAACAACTTCCTTAGATATATTTGCCACTTGAAAAATATTATGTAATTTTTAGTATGACTGATATTACACTGTGACAAATGCAACTATCACAGCTGATACAGAAAATGCACAGGACATGTTTACTTCAAATTGCACAGAGTACAATTTACAAATCTCATAACATATTTTGTTCTATCCTTTTTCTGTTAAATGCAGTGCTCTAGAGAACAAGACAGATTCCTCTTCATGATGATGTCAATGATTACATATATCTGTAGATGGTGGAGGTTCTGGCATTTTAGGTACAGCAACAGATATTTTCTCTTCTGGGGCAGATTCCTTTGGCACCTCAAGCACTTTAAACATATTAGTATCTTTTACTTGCATGAATATTAAGGATATGAACAAAACATTAAAAAGAACAATGAAACTTAGGAAACTGGGATATCAAACATTCAGATATTATATTGTCTCTCTCTCTGTAACTAACACACACACACACACACACACACGAGTATAATTTACATGACAAAGATTCTTCTTTATGATTATGTCAGTGATGACATGTACCTTTAGCAGGTGCAAGTTCTGGTTTTTTAGGCACTTTCTCTTCTGGGACAGCTTTCTTGGGCACTTCAGGCACTTTAAAGATATTAGTTCTGTTTACTTTTATGATTGTTAAAGATGTGTGTGAAACATTAAGGAGAAACATTACACAAAAGTCATAGATATCAAAATGCATTTACGATGCAACATTCAAACACTGATTAGTCACTTACACAACAAACTGTTATACACAGTACAGTTCACATGTTGAAGACACTTTACATATCTCAGACAGCTGATAACAGACTGGAAAAAGTATGTTAAAATACTGTTCAAGAAGAAGAAGAAGAAAAGGTTCTATTACTGATCTGTACCTTTTGCTGGTGGAGGTTCTGGTTTCTTAGGCACAGCAGTAGGTTCTGTTTTTTTAGGCACAGGTACTTTTTCTTCTGGGACAGTTTTCTTGGG